CGCTTAACGTCCAAGGTTTCATTGAAGATTTTCTGCATCAAGCTGTGATTAATTCCATGATAAGTGCAACCCAGCCACCCAGAAAAGTGTTCTAGAGGAGTATCCCAAACGAAACAAAGATGTACGCCGATTACTTGATTACTTGTAATGAGCCAGTTTAGCATTTTAGAAAACGGTGCTTTTCTAGTCTACGTTAAGTCAAACTAAATGTCGGATATCTGCATGGTAGGACCACATCCAGTGTTCAAGTTGTTGACTTTCCTAACCTGGCACTCGCAACACTCGTCATGAATTCAAGCATCGCAGATCTCCTCGGTCAGATTGTTTGGCCTGTGATTGGAAAGACATTGCAGTTTTACGTTGAGGATGGTGCAGAGTTTGTGAGAAAGAGGTAAAGAAGTAAGAATCGGAATGAGTTCTTAGATATGTGACTGCAGCTAGCTAGATTTGTTGCGCCCAATCTGTCGTCTCTGCTGATTTTCGTCTGAACAGGGTGCTCGGTACAATTTGTGAAACAATCAGAACAATTTATCTGCTTTTTCTTGAACTGCTGTCAGGAGTGACAGATTATGTGATTCAAAAGCAGCGATTGTCTGCTGTAAACTCTATGCGAATGGGAGTTAATTACAAAAGGATTGATCTAGAGTCTGCAGTAGTAGAGGTCCACAAGTTCTTACATGTGCGCACGCTGAGATCAGGTACGGGAAAGTCTTCCTTAGTACACAATTTGAGACATTTCGCTCACTGAAGCTAGGGAATTCTAGGCAATTCTTTTTAATCGTCGTGCCTGGCAAGGCAGTGACGACTCGCAGAAAGGGCAGCAGACCTGTTTCTGGTGGCAAGATTGATGATGTGGTGAGGTTTGAACTGGTGAACAGTCTGTTATCTAAGCACCACGAACTCATTATGCTTTTTCTGTATTCAGGTTCATTCATTTTAAGTGTGCAAATTTAACAAAATTATCCGATCCAACTGGACTCACAGAAAGTCAAAACAAGAAAATGTGTGAAATTATTCGAGAGACGTTTTTAGTCTCCACTATAGCACTTCGAGTAAATCTCTTCTTCAGCACTGCCCACTTCAGTATGTTGCAGGAGGTCATCGACCACCACTTACTGCAGCATTGCGCTATCCTTAAACCCTTCCCGGTAGAAGATCTAGGAAGCCACTCCAGGTTAAAGGAGGTATTGTTCAGGCGAAGATTATGTTGTGAACTTCTGGCTGGGAATTGCAACTGCAGCCGAATTGGAGCAGGAAGAAATGTGTCCTGAATCCATGTTGTCTTCAAATTTTCTAAACTAACTTTTATTAGTAGATAGCCTGCCCAAGTAAAATATGATCTGATGCCAAGCTGTCTTCCCAATATCCATTCCGCCTTCCTTTTTCGAATCGAAATCACCATAATGAGACAAAGGCGTCGGAAATGATTTAGACGGAGGAACAAATCCATCGTTTTTGTGACTGGGTGTTATTGACTTTTTGGCTACTCTACTACAAGGATAGTCCAGGGAGCGAACTGATACCGAACATGGTCGGGAAAATACGGCTCATGAACATTTCAGAACTGTGACGATGGTCCGCAGACGTATGGAAAATACGATTCATGTACCATTCTAAACCGTGGCAATCTTCTTCATAGTGTATATGAAAACAGGTCCTCCGACTCGTGCAGATTGCGCCCGGCCAACTAGAGTTGTATATGAGTTAGCACCACTTTGAAAACAACTGTATAAAGTGAATTCAGCTGCTGGACTATGACTCGTTCCTGGAGTTTTTTCCATTGCCGGGCATCTCCGAGCACCATGTGACGCAAGGTGGTAGAGTTATGTGTACACTGAATAGAGTCATAAGGCCTGCGAAATTCGTTCGCATGCCGTATGGACTCTGGGAGCAATCCGAGAGGATGCAACAGAGCAACATGCGTCCTGGTCGTGGAGACATCGGGGAGCGGACACGAAGGGGCCTCCGTGAGCTCCTCGGCTGGATTCTCTTCTTCCTCCGCTGCCTTCTGTACTGGCACCTCCACGGCCTCTTTCAGGTCAGTTTCTGCGATTGAGATACTGCTCACGGCGTTGGAAGCGCCATTCCGTGACGAATTCGCCTGCACGGAACCTCTAGAGCGAGAGATCTTCAGCTGTGCAGATTCATGTGATGAAGGCATGCATAATGCAGGAGAGCCATGGGTAAGGCGAACGGTGGAAAACGAGCAGGATGCTATGCCTGAAACGGGAACTGCTTTCGAGGACCATGTACGACGTGAAGCTAACGCCGCACCGCCGCAGCTGCTGCCTACGAGCTAGGCAGCCATCGTTATTTCTCCAAATGCTTCGCTCCGTGATTGAATCCAGCGTCTGCCTCCAAGCTGTTGATGACCATCTCGATCTCGCCCTTCCAAAAAAAGTATTCCTGTTTACACGTTATATCGTTACCATATCGTCACAGAATCTTATGGAACAAAAGCTCGACCAGAAGGCGCAAAATGCGCCTCGGAGGTGGAAAATATGAAACAGTCAATTGAACTGTACAGATCAGGTCGACTTAAGAAGGGGGCAGCCGAATATTGTGAGCATTGGTCGTGACATTCGAAAACTACTCATTCTCATCCGACTCCCGGACGCAGTGAATCTCTCGAGCCACAGCCAATCGAAGCACGTCGTAGAATGGCCTCAGGAAGCCAGGCCAGTAAGGTTTGAGGCACAGCATCAAAGGGCATGCACCAGCGCGAGTGCGTCGTTTGCATGCTTCCATACAAACAAATTAATACATATATCTAAAAATTTTCAGCAATTTTAAACAAAAATAAAACATTCTTAGAATTTTACTTCTAAGATTGTTTTATTTTCGTAGAAGTACATCTCTGAATACGCTAAATGTATGTAGTGTAATACGGGTATGGCCTGCCTCAAAATATTTTCCTATTACTCCAATCCTACAGACCAGGCACGGATACTCGGCGACGACTTGGAGAATTCTCTTGTTTTGCTCGCTGGTGTGTGGATAAAAGTATCCCTCCCGTCATCCCCCCGAAACTCCGAGCCCGCATTCCCCGCCGTCTCCGACTACAGTTGGCAGCCTGGGGACGAGGGCGACGTGGAGGTTCGCTGGGGACCCTAGTATCCTTCGCGGAGGAGGCCGCTGATACTCGCTCCAGTTAAAATTGAAAGCACAGCAAATTAGTTTGAGTCATGTCCATGGTCAAAAGGCATGGTCCATGCCCTTATTACCGTACACTAAATACATTTAGCATATTCAGACATATATTTTTCAGTATTCAGAAATATATTTATACGTAAATAAATCATTCTTAGAAATAAAATTACTAAAAAGTTATAGATATAAATATTAATTTGTTTGTACATACATCCATGAATTCATGGAAATATGCGAACGAGACTCACCCTGGGACTAGAGTTGGAGGCACGTCAAAACATTTTGAGGCATGCCCCACTCTCAAGGTCACAAGGCATGCCTGTATTACAATACGTACATTTAGCGTATTTGTTAATGTACTTATACGGAAGAATGCGAACGAGGCCTATCCTCGCCCTGGGGCATGACCTCTGAGGTTGTGCCTCAACACTACCTGGACATGCCCTTTGAGGTCGTGCCTCCAGCCCGTGTGACACCTGGGACGAGGTAAAAATGCCCACCGTCGCTTGTCGACAGTGGACTGCGCCTTCGTGTTTTACCCTGATGCTCGCTCGTGTCCTGCCGTCTTCGTGGAGGGCGCGAGTTCGGCAACGGGTCGCTTTTCGGACACCACGCGTGCACTCGCTACCAGCGATCAATGGGTCCGTCTGCTGCCGATGCCACACGATGTGCCCTGTCTTGTTCCTCTGCCACAGCTCGGCCATTCACTTCCCAATTTTGGAGCAACGTATGAAAGTGAGGCTTAGGCTGGGTGTCCCATAGCTCCCCCAAAATTCTGCTTCACGGCGCCAAGTGACAGAGAGACTTCCAATTATTTGCCTTCTTAAACTATCTCGTTTTGTCCCAAGTTGGGACTAAACGAAATTCTGTGAGTTGGGACTCCCAACTCACAGAATTGGATATGTTGAATCACCTCGAAACTGTACTTTACCCGACCTTGAATGGTGACTAGCCTTGGAAGAAACCATTTCCGCACAGCTTGAGTAACTAGTTTATCTTAATGCTCTTGTTTGCAGTCCATCAAATTGGATAGTTTCTTTCGTAAAGCTCAAGAGTAGCCCTACGTGGGCTACGTGGACCGCGACGACATAGACAGTGGTGAGGCAATCTGTGTAGTACTGAGGACAGATCGTACTGATGTGACTGAGAACGTTGCTTCGTCGCGTTGTGGATCTGAGGAGTATCTGTATGTCAGACATCTGTAAAATTGTTTTCGTCTACCTCGACAACCTGTTACCTGTCATATCCCGACAAGCCTCAGGTCTAAGATATATATCCAAGATCCTGAGACGATAATAGACGACTTGTCTGGCATCTATATGGGTATAGATGCCAGACAAGAACTAGCCGCTCTCTACTGCCTGGAAGTGCACTGAGCTTATCTCGTCTCATGTAAAAGTTGTACAGGACAACAGAGTATTCAACAGAGAACTCAGAGAAACTCCTCCTTACAATCGAGCACTCCATGGAAAATAATCTTCACAATCAATGTAAACTTTACTGAAGACATCTGGCGCAGCTGACATCACAAACAGACGCCGCCAACCAAAGTGGGTGTGGCAATTTTCTCCTACATGCGGTCGTTCGGGACTAAGCTGCGAACTAGAAAACATGAAGGGGAACCTCCCGGAACCTTCCTCAGGAACCCAGCAACTCGACTCACAAGTGAATTAAAGTGGAAACGAAACCGTATCATTATAATCCTGGATTAGGATTGCACAATGAAAGTACTGATATGAATCCGATCAGCAACCAGCTCTTTGTTTTGTTCACACAGTGTTTCTTCAATTGGACAGAGCCTAGGGATAAGTAGCAATTTTCTCCTACATGCGGTCGTTCGGGACTAAGCTGCGAACTAGAAAACATGAAGGGGAACCTCCCGGAACCTTCCTCAGGAACCCAGCAACTCGACTCACAAGTGAATTAAAGTGGAAACGAAACCGTATCATTATAATCCTGGACTAGGATTGCACAATGAAAGTACTGATATGAATCCGATCAGCAACCAGCTCTTTGTTTTGTTCACACAGTGTTTCTTCAATTGGACAGAGCCTAGGGATAAGTAGATCATCGTACTCCAAACGCTGAGTGATATCTCGTGGTCGTATGAAAAGCTCTTCCGGCCCAGTAACTTTATTTTCCCCTTCTGTCTGCGTCCGACTGCCATGTGAAATTCATGCTGCCTCGTCTGCTGTTATCTGCTTCAGTTTCTGCAGAGCTGCACGTCCAGCACAATGCAACATTCCCACTGTAAGGTAATTGTGTGAAGCTAGAGAAGTACCGAAAACCAAAACAAAGCAAAGACAGCATAGGTTCGAAAGTTCTGAAAATATCACGTCCCATTGCATTGGTCCGAAGCAGCTATACGATTGAGTACAATATCAGACACAGGTGGTTATCTAGACAGAGCTGCCTTCAGCCCAGAAAGAAAACCACACCCTGTGTGAGACGCGTACCTTCAGTGTAAGACTCATAAAGCTCCTCGGTGACAGATGACGGCAGTGAATAATCCTGGCACTTGCTATTGTCGACTTTCTTCAACATCTGTTTGAAGTGTCGTACCTGCGCAAACATCCCCAGGTTTACAGATCAACACACATAGCGGGTTAGATGACTGGAGGCCGTTATGCACAACCGGAAAAACAAACACAACAAGACGATGGTCTGCGCTGAATAAGCCCGAGCAACATGGGAGGAAGCGGATACAGCGCTATTGAACTTGTTACATGGAATGTAGATCAAACTACTTTGTGGTTTATGCATGTTCAGAAAGCGAACCTCCTCCTTCCGAAGAAGAGTATAAGAGCTCCCGGGCTGTCCGGCTCGAACAGTGCGCCCAACACGATGGACGTAGGTCTTTGCGTACACAGGCATATCATAATTGACAACGTTTGCAACACCTTCCACATCCATACCCCTTGTCATCGCATCTGAGGCAATGAGCACTTGTGCCTGGCCATTCCGGAATTTTGCCAACGCTTTACTGTAAAGCATGATATAGAGGCAAGTCATCAGGATTATTGAAGCCAGCTACGAATGTCGGATAACAAACGAACGGAACCGACTTGGATATTCATCCCAATATCAATAAATCAGAAGAAAGAGGAAATAACCTGCGACTTAGAGGTCTGTATGTTAAAATATATACTTATTAGTTAATTGGTCTACAAACCCCATCAAAAGCACACACGTCTTGGACAAACCTGCGGGGTTGTTGATGCTGCAAGCTTGAGTACTCAACCACCTTGACAATCCTTAGTAGCATTTTAGCAGAGTATATAGTCGATGAGTAGCCACTACAGAAGCAGTGAAAACAATGGTTGTTTGGCTGCAAAGCTGTTGTAAGAGTGCTACCAAATATAAGGGCTTCTCTCCCGGTTTGCAGACCTGCAAAGATGTTCAGGACAACAATTTCTGTTACGGATCATGCGATGCAGGTTTGAACAAACACAGGCTCCAAGGCTACGTGAACTAAATTGAGTCAGCAACAAGTTATGGTGGCAACGTGTGTGAACAGAGATACGAACCATCCTGTAAGACTTAAGTTGTTCTGGTAGTTGATACCGGTTGCCAGCAGCACCAGGCGCCACATATATGGGGCAGAGAAGACCAAGTTGTGCAATTTTTGCTGGATCTCTCGTCAAGGTAGCCGATAACACCATCTTCATCAATCGTGGGAGTGCAGTGCCTCTATTTCCTCTTTCACCACGGAAAAAACTCACGAGAAATTGTAGGTGCTGAAGAGTGAACCCTTTCGTATTTCGAATATGGTCCATCAAGCGCCCTGGAGTTGCAACAAGTATGTCATCCTGGTTTTCGGCAAGGTCGGGAGTTGCAGCCTCAAATTTTCCAAAACTGTGGACCATCGACTTACGAATCTGAACCAATTCAGCCGCTTCAGCTACAATTGACGTTTGTCCCACAGATAGTCCCACTGAGAGACCAACTGCTGGTGCGATGGTGTCAAAGACTGCTTTAACCTGAAGAAACGCGATTACAAAGGTTTAAGGCCTTAAGAGAAGCTTGAGCGGATATATAGGAACTGGAAAGCCAGCCAAATATGGGTACTAGAGGTTACATAACAATAAAAGCCATCGATTAAAGTAGCGCTAACTCCCTGGTTTTCACGATCTTGAAATGTCCTGTACAGAAAATGGGCAGAATCTTTGAAGCACGTGAACAAGGAATTCCAAACTTTGATACATCAGCATGGATTTCCTTTCTATCTCATAGTTGTACAATCAAATAGTAAACATAGACCCGAAATAGGAGAGATTCTCAACATAAAGACCATCCAAACTACGTTTCAAAAGAACCTCACCTGCGCAGCTAGATCCCTGGAGCACTACGAGAACTCGAAGAAGACGAATCACCCGAGACGATAACTTTTGGACGATGGGTAATGCGTAAGATAGTGTTTTGCCACTGCCTGTTGGCGAGCTGACACAGACGTCTCGCTCGCTTAAACCAGGGCCCACAGTCTCGTGCCACACGGCCATCTGTACTGGAAACAACGACTGTATTCCTGCCTTCGAAAGCATCTTGAAGTCTGCAATGTAACTCGAAACGCACCAAGAATCATCGGCTGGACATCGAGACAAACTTCAAGTGCTGGGCAGATAGAAGATGATTACAAACGGACGGACGGCAAGGCTACCTGGTGTCCAAGCCAGGCACTTGTCTCAGGGAGGTGGCCTTGTAGGTATCAATATCAAGCGGATCACGCATCCATGGCAACACCGGCCCGTGGTCTTGCGACTCTGCTGGAACCAAATTAACATCACGACCCATGATTCTATCCACATCCCTCTCAATTGTGGAAATTCAGAAGTATCGTCCGCTCCGAGTGCGTTCAACTCGTCAGTGTTCTCTGTAATTACATGCTCCTCATCCTCATCCGGAACCCCTAGGGACTTACTGTTAGGCTCCTCTTCATTGATCTGTTTCCAAGGGCCACCATCTGCAATCACATCCACCTTTTCAGACAAATTGTGAAATTATGCATCTCTTTCTCGATCACCGGTTGAGGATATGAATGAATAAAGATAATACTGAGACTGTGCAAAAATGACTTACTTCTCCAGATACGCCTCTTGCGTTAACCAGTTCATCACTTGGTTCCAGATTGCCCCCTCTTCGTATCTTCAACCTCTTTTCTTTCTTTCGTTTCTTCTCCAATTTGGACTCTTGAAATTCAACCAGCTCCGGGACACTTCTGTCGATGTCGGCTGCAGAAGTCTCTTCCGCTCGCTCTATATTATCTTCACTTGTTAAAGTATCGTTCACCTTCCTTTCCTGTTCTTCCGTTCCAGGAGAAGCAGGAGCTTCCAGAGGAAATACATGTTCTTCAGTCGTATCCGAGACTTTCAGCTTCTTGTGCTTTTTGATCTTTACAGCAGAATCAGGAGCTTCGTGGTCCATCAAGGTTGCCAATTCTGCCTTGTGTTCCTGGTGTTGCTTTCGCTTTTTTCGCCTAGTATGAGGTTCAATTTCGCTCACTGCATTAGATTCTTCCTCAACCACAACCTCTGAGGCTCTTCTTGCTTTCATCTCTACTCAGTGCAGGATCAGAATCCTTGTTCGAGACTTTCTCCCTGTTACCTGGAGAAGTACCTTCCGCTTTCTCTCTAAGCGGAAGCAGAGCAGCCCGCTCCCGAGCTCTGGCATTCAAACGATCTAATAGTAATGGAGATCCACGCTTCCGACTTTCTCCTCTCAGCCAGCGCTCCACCTGAAACATCGTTGCCCCCTAAACAGCAGGCAAGCATTTAATCTTCAGGGCAAAATTGCTCGCGCACATCTAGACGAACCATGTGACAAGAAAACTGAACCCTTCTCACGAATCTCTATCACACAGACGTCCCGTACTCTTCTGCGCCAAGCTCCGCAAAACGTCCGCACGTGGATCACATAAATAATCTGATGTCTACTTCACTGACAATTTCGAGACGTGATCCGAGCGTAATCCGAGCGAAATCGGAAAGAAAGTAGCAACGACATGTTTTCAGATTTCAGAGAGGCCTTGACTGCATCCCTGACACAGGCTCGGGGTTTAAGGTTTAGTTTACAAAGTTGGCAGAAAACGCTACACAAAGGTTAGACATTAACCCCAGCGTGGTAAGTTAACCAAGGTAGCCTAATTAGTGTATGCGTAAATTCCATTCTTCAGATTAAGAGTATTTGAAAAGCGGCGATGATTGAGGGTTAGGGTATCAGACTATATGATCACAAGATTTCGAAACGCAAAATTAGTTTGCAGTAGGTCTTGGAGAATCAACGCAGCTGTATGTCATAACTTGTAAAAAATCTGATATTTCATGGATCAAAGATGAATTATTATATATTTGATTGGTAATCATTATTGAACTCAAATTAGTTCACATCTGAGTTAATTGTCATTATTCGTCGCTGCAGCTCTCCACAATGATCGCTCAATTCCTCGTTTTTTGTGCGCGCTAATATGTTTTAGAGTCAGTTAAAAATTCAAGCCGGCACTATTCGATGTATCCACACTAATTTCTCGCTTGGTCCCTAAAGTTCTCTCTTCCCAATCAATCTGGCAGTCTATAATTGCAAATAAGAGTATAGTCAAGATGGTTATGCGGGCGATAAGGTTTGTGTCCAGATAAACTACAGAAACTATGAAGAAGTGTTTCGTACCAAAATTGATACGTAGAAGTAGTCTAATTGTAGTTGCAGTTGAAAGTGTGAAAATATACGTCGAAAGGAAGCAAAGGCGCAACTCGAGCAGAGTCGACAACTTAGAAGAACCTTTGCGCGGTCTCTTTCGATCATCGTGGAGTCCAGGGCCGTTGGACTACGCTGCTCGGGAGGTCGAGAAGCGGACGAAAGCTCCGCCGCTACGCCTCTAACCGCGGCTAAATCTGGAGGCGGACACGGGAGCGCCCGGATAGACGACGAGGCCGACGGGCTCTGACAGGACATCGGAGCACGAAAGTGGGAGCTCTTGGCGGGCGGTGGATATCGGAGGTTCCGGTTACGGAGGAAAGCCTGGAGGAGTACGATACGGGCGACCGCACCGGTGAGCCGAGTGCAGTTCGGAAGTGATGGCCGATGTTCGTGGAAGCTTCGAATTTAGCAGGAGGAGCGCGGCAGGCGGTTTAGAAAGAACCTTTTTGCGCGGTCTCTTTCGATCATCGTGGAGTCCAGGGCCCCGGCTCGTCGTAGAACCTACTGTTGGGATGTGACGCGGAGCGAGCGAGAGGCGGAGGTGGAAGGTGGGAATCATTCCCACGTTTTTGTCGATGTGGGAATTTCCGCATTTGCGCATTTCCGCAATTCCGCAGTTGCGAGTTTGCCTGCGAGGGTGCATGGTTCCGGGCACGCAGAGGGGAAGGGGTCTTGGCAGTTCGATCCATGAGCGATGGGACTTCGCATCCAAATCACCTCCTCCTCCTGCTGGTCCGCTGCAGGAGCAGGGAAGGGCCGTCCCGGCTCCTTCTCCGTCTAAACGCCACGTAATTCAGGGGACAGGCCTAATAATTTCGGAAAACTGATTTGTGCCTGTCCTTCTCGTCCACCGCAAGCGTAGTCATGCCTCGCCCTCGCCTGTCCAGTCCGGTGCCTCCGTTCTATATCCATTTTACTGTCAACTATGCGATGGATCCGATCCGTTTGGAGGTTATTTGTCGCGGCGTGCACCTTCCGGAATTACGCGTGTAGCATAGGCCAACCGCTGTCAAATAAGGCTGAAGATTTTAGTCTGTTTGCAAGAACTGGCAGGCATTTGATTCTCGATCCTCGGATCGATCGAACGACCTAGAAACCCCACTGTCTTTTTGCAACCCCATCGTCTTTTGGTCCTTACCCGTTCATCGCCTTAACTTACTTTTGCAGATACTCTTCGTGGGAGAATGTTGTATGGTCCTGCTGAAAGATTTTTCCAAGTCTACCTAACAACTGCATGAACGAGGTCTAGATTACCGGTACTGGATACACAAATCTGGATGGAATGATCAACAGTATGTGCGCCTCTGTAGAAATTCAGATCTCGGGAGCCCATTATCATCTTGTGCCATAATCAAAGACTCGGAGTGATGCTTGAGTAGATTCCTTGGTCCACCACCAGATCTACAGCATCAACAAGCTCATGGCCAAGGCAAAGCCTCCTTTCATATGAAAAGTGAGGGCTTCTCAAACGACATGAAACTCTCATGGCTAACGTTATTGGTCCTCTAATTTCAGACGATTATTTGACTCAATCGTTGGATGTCGCGCAAATCTAGGCAGAGAAACTTTTTCTCTTCTTCCAGAGGCAGGTGGATCCGAAAAGATACATCGTCCTTACGTGGAACATGATTTTCTTTCTCTATGCGAGCACCACATGAAGAAAGGAAAGCACGAACCGCTCGATTGGTGCGGGCTAATGCGAATAAGTCAATTCGAGCTCGTATTTCTACGAGCTTGAATTGTTTTATTCGTCGAGCTTCCGGAGTCCAACTCGCTTGCGTAAATTCATCACGATGAAGTTTCCTACTTTCTGAGCTTTGTTTGACCAGGTTTTGGGTTAACGGCCATTCACAAGAATTTTTATGCTTTTTCCAGTTCCTTGCGAAAGGAATATTATGCTTGGCGTCGAAGACTTGCAAGGTACGCGTCTGGTTTGAAAGGCTAGCTGACAACACCACCCTGATACAACTTTTAGGTTATGACATTCGAGTTCCAAAAGTCAGACGTTTGATTGGGCATCTACTGAGTTTACACTGAACGTTTGATTTTATTGATCTGTATGCATTCACGGTTATATGAAGCTCAGAATCACAAGCAGTTGCTGTAAAGACAACCAAAATTCAATTTGGCTTTTCTCATCCGAATAAGGCTGGATATATTTAAGACATCAAATTATTCTTTTCCGGAGGTTAGGAAAGAGGTTAAGCTTCACTGACTGCTTCTGGGTCCACCTACAACAAGTCCAGATCCAATGCAAAGTTGCAAACTGTTTTCGCTCTCTCTCCATCCGACTCTGCTCTCATGCACAAGGAGGAGAGAGAAGCGGCGAGAACGGCAAGATCTTTTTGGGAAACGCACTCCTAGAGCCTATTGATCTTGTATGTTGCAGTCTAGGGGCCAAGCAGCTTTTTGGGTGATAACTTTACACGGCTGACTGTCATTGACACTGGAACAGATCTTCAGCCATCTCTTGCTTTCACGAGTGGTAATATTCATTTAAATTTACTGTTTCACCTCCGTTCATTCCGATTTCTGATGTTTCTGATATTTCGTTCTTGCATGTAAAATATTTGAGCTACTCATTACCACACTTAATAATATAATGGATCCACTTACACTTGGTCACCACTGAGGCTGGTGCTGGTAAGAAAAAGATGTTGCTATTTCAGAGATCACATTACCTCTGGAATATGTTCACAAACTTCCCAATCGAAAGCGTTTGAATAGGTCCACTAGACATATGAAGAAAAGAGTGTGGACCATCTCACATGATCGAAGTTCGGTCCACTTTGTACCTTTACATAGATCCCACCCTTTAATTGACTGACTGTTGGATGCAATGTGCCACCAATTTTGATTCCACGCACCATGCATTTCATGCTTTTTTCGTTATAAAGTTCAACTTTCATACTTCCTAACAAATCAAGATTTTTAACAAACCTTTTTTTCGGTTTATGATCTGTATCAAATGCCTTATGAACTTTTGCAACGGGGTTTGAAATCTAAGATGCTTCCCTATACTCTTGAAAGAATATTATTAAAGATAGCCTCACTTCTTGCCTTGCTTGATTGTTGAAGTCAAAATAGATGCGATTGCAATGGGTGACTATGTGAAGAAATGGAATCATACCTCAGGAGTGATGTACTTGTGTTGAAATGCAGGAGCAAAAGAGAGAAAAATTGGATAATATATTGGTGAACATTCTATAACAAGTATCTGTAGACGAATCTAAAGGTTGTGTATACTTTAAGAACCTAGTCTTGTGTTTTACTATCATCATACGGGACACAAAAAGGATGATTTTGTGGAAATGAACTCCACGTGAATGTAACTGAAAGATCGTACTTCTTAAAATAAGACATAATGTTTTATTTAGTGGTATGGAAATTTCAAAGATCCAAAAGTCGACACACATCCGGATGATCCAGTTTTATACATGTATGAAGGACTATGAATGTTCACTCGAGAAAATGGAGAAGTAACTGAAAACTTGAAGATTTGTTGTTATTCTTGTTATTCATGATTGAACGGAGTAGAATTTCTTTGTTTGCTAGTATTGCTACAATTGTCCCAGATTATTAGGAACTTCGTATCGATGACTTCTGTCAAATCGCATGAATAATTCATATAAATTTCTTCGACTCTTGAGCACTCAAAGTCAATGGCAGTAAAATATTGATTCACATACCTTCAATTATAGCAAATATATTTATGTAGGCGAGGGTAGCTGGTTACTCATTTGATTCCGCATCCTGCCGGACGTCTTCTCAACATTGGGCATCTGAAACTCTTGGAAACTGTGTCAAGGAGTGTAGATTATTCATGTAAGGAGAATTTCTTCGTTTCTTGCTGCAGGTAACTCCGTCTTTCACCTTCCATTCTGTTTCTGTTTAGGATTTTGAGTCCTTTGAAGATTGTAAGGGCTCTCTGGATGACGTCGGGATCATGCGAAGGGGGAATCGAAAGATGGAGAAAAAATAGGAGATTTCGTGAGCTGGTTTCGTCCTAGACTTGTCCTGTGTGAGAAGAGACATAAAATCTCGAAATAAGTTGCCGTTGATATCCAGTCTCCACCAGAAGAATGAAGAGGTCCTTTACAGTGCTTCAGTGCTTCCGTGCTTCAGTTTGCTGTAAACATGCATTGACCGAAAAAGTTTGGGAATTCGCACTAGGTGCATGTGCCAGGCAATTGCCATGCATTCTGCGAGATGTTACACTATAAAGATGGCTCTCCATAAACATTTGCGTTTGGCCTACCAATGTGTAGTCAAAGCTTCCAATTAACAAGATGTTTGCCAGTGACAGAACATGGAGGGCTTTAAATAGCATTGCAGAGAAATGTATAAGACCTTCGATCGAAAACTCCTTATAACG